AATGAATCAAGATACCCCATTTCTAATTCCATGTTTTGCCCTTAAAAAGGCATAATGGAGCCAGGTACGGCGGCTTACGCCTGCAATCCCAGCACTTTGGGAGGCTGAGGCGGGTGGATCATGAGGTCAGGAGTTCGAGACCAGCCTGGCCAACATAGTGAACCCCCGTCTCCACTAAAAATACTAAAAATTAGCTGAGTGTGGGGCGAGCACCTGTAATCGCAGCTACTCAGGAGGCTGAGGCAGGAGAATTGCTTGAACCCAGGAGGTGGAGTTGCAGTGAGCCGAGATTGCGCCATTGCACTCCAGCCCAAACGACAGTGGGAGATGCCATCAGAAAAAAAAAAAGGCATAATGATTCTTTTAAGGGCAGGAGTTAGGCATCCAAGAAAAAACACAAAGCTGGCCATCAATGTTTTGAGTCAGCCCTTTATTTTTGCTCTAGAGGTTTGTACATACAAACCAAAATACATCATAGAAAAATGCTGCTTGTGTGGGAGGTACACGTTTTCCTTGCAAAGTGACAGAGAGAAGGCTGAGGCAGGAAAATGAGAAAGGAGGAGCCGCACAGGTCTACTGTAAGATCCAAGTTAACGATATGGAAATTAATTTCTTCAAAAATGTGTACCCTCGGGTATCCTTTGTGAGGTTTTGTATACCTGTAGGGGTATGTGGGCCTCAATTTGAGGGCTACCAGACAAAATGGTCTTTAAGACTTGTCCTCTTTTGGGACATGCTTTCGATAAGATCTTGGTCATTTTATTGAATGTAACTATAATTTTAAAATGAGGGCAAAAGATTCCATCAAGTGCTATGTTGACAAAAGTAAGCTACTCTGCACAGATAGAGTTACACTACTGGTCCATAGCTACTTGAGCTGATGCTGTGGATTGCTTTCAGTGGTGAAGTTAGCTTTGCCCTGGGTCATCCTCATTCTTCCTCTTCTTCTTCCAACCCCCACAGGGCACACATTTGTCAGGTGCTGATGGAGAGAAGGGTAGCCTCTGGGAATGCAATAGAAGTTCTGTAGCAATTGTAGTGATCATGAGCCTCCTGATATTTTGGATCGGGCACAGAAATATGTACAGGGCGCTATGAGATCTATAGACGATGAATGTATTTCAGTTAGGCGATATCAGGAAGGACCTCTATTAAGCCCTAATGGGGTGTGAGTGTGTGCATGCGTGTGTGTGTATGTGTGGCAGGGACTGGGAGAGAAGGTAATAAGTCCTTGCAAATAAACTTATATAATATTATATAATATTCCAGATAAGGCCTATATAGGGCCATTCTATTCCTGGCCTCACAAATGTGATGAACCTTGAGGAAGTCACTAATATCCTGGATTAAAGATCTAAACTTCACTTTCTTAAAATTACCTTATTTCATGGGATCTAAAAAGTAGATTTCAGACATGTTAAAATGTGAATAATTGAAAGGAAACTGGGCATGATTTGGCAGTTCACTTGTGGAGTGGGGTTGACTAAACTGTGTGTCTGATTTACAATAACCCATCTCACAAGAACTTGAGAGAGACGTCAGATGGGCGATATAAACCCTTTTCCAAGAATGGTGTATTTGTGTCCATATACTAGGAATGACCTCCTCATGAATTTCCTGACAAGTAGATGCTTAGGAAAGTCCATCAGGCCTCAGAAGATTGCTAAATGATTAAAAATCAGAAGAAAGAGATCTGGCTGATCTTGGAAGATCTTCAACTTTGGATAGAAAGAAGTCTGATGCATGAGTTTTGCTTCACTCCTGGGACCTCATCCTAACAACTAGCACACCTGTGTCTGAAAGATTTATGGTTTTAGGTATGTCTTAGTCATATGTTCTTGAAAAATATGTGTACATTTTTGGGTAGCCGTATCCTTAATTTTCATAAATTATGATATTAATTAAAAAATTTTGTTAAATGACAATGTAAAATGATGTGGCTGCTATAAAAATGAACTTGGGAGATCCTCATTAAATACAGTTATATGACCCAACAATTCCACTCTTGAATATATACCCAGAAGAATTGAAAAAAGGTGTTCAAACACTTGAACACAAATGTCCATAGCTACAATATCATAGCCAAAGGTGAAAACAATCTACATGTCCATCAACTGATAAATGGTTAAATAGAGTGTGGTATATTCCTGCAATGGCATGCTATTAAGCCACGAAAAGAATGAGGAACTGATACATGCTACGTTATGAATGGACCATAAAACATGATGCTAAGTGAAAGACGACAGGCACAAAGGCCACATACCAGATGACTCCATGTACATGATGTATCCAGAACAGGAAAATCCATAGAGGCCGAAAGCACGCTGGTGGTTCCCAGCAGCTATGGAAAAAGGAGTTGAGAAGTAATTGCTTAATGGTCATGGGATTTCCTTTACGAAGGATGAAAATGTTTTGGAACAACACAGTGGTTATAAGTTCCTCAACACTGTGAGATACTAAATGTCACTAAATTGTGCACTTTAAAATGGTTAAAATGTAAATTTTATGGTATGTGTATTTTACCACAATTAAAAAAAATATTCACACACAGGTGCGCAAACTTGCTAGCCATCTCAACATTTTCTTTTGTCACTCAGGAACAAATTATCAAAGTCTTCACTTTGTGGTGCTTTTCAAATGGCACTTGTGTTCATGGCAGCATTACTTCTTTTTTTTATATAAAGGAAAAACAGAAATATCCTGAATCATCCCAATTTAAACCCTATAGGGAATAACAGAATATCACAAAAAGATGAGTGGATCTATAAATGCCTATTACAGGGGATAGAGAGGCTCAATCTCTCTCCCTCTTAAGTGGAAGGTGGTTTACATTGAAACTTTCCTGTTAGAAGCAGGATCTGCCTGTCCCTTCTATGTAGCCTCTCTTTTCCTTTTAGCTCCAGTACATATTAAATAGCTTCCTGATGAGATTTTTCCTTGGGTTTCATTTATATAATTTATTCTTTTTGTTTATGTAAGTTTTCCTTGAGTTCTTTAGTATGTATTTTTAATTTGCTTGACGTTTAAGCAGAGCAGAGTCAGTCAAGAGAAATGTAAAACAAGACAAATACTTCTTTGCTCTCACAGAGAACCGCTTTACTGTATCTTGTTATCTCAACAGTACCCTGGGATTATGTGTGGAACAGGTGTCAAGTATGTATGCATTACGCCAACAGCAGTCCAGGGTCTCTATGAAAGACAAAGACAGGAAAGGTGCTGCCCTATGCGATAGCAATTTCAAAGGCACAAAAGACTGTAGAAGACCAAGAACAACACTGAACAACAGGCAGGTTATAAACAGAAGCAATTCAGATTGTTGAAGGTAATGTAACCTTTTATTCTGAATTATAAATTTAAAAAAAAAACTCATGAAGTAAATAATGAACCTCAACAGTCTTCAAATAAAAATAAAACAAAGTCAAAAACTTTCTTGGCCTTATTACAAACTCTTGTTCTTTACTTTTCCAACAATACAGAAAACTGAAACCATGCTGAGAAAAAGTATATTGCCCTTCTCTGAAAAGAGTCAAATACTTTCTGTTTCTATGAAGATGATAGTTCACATGTTGTTCTCTTCCATTTTAGCTGAATTCCCTTTACCGAGTTACTTAAATTTACTATTCCTGTTTCCTGGTTTGTAAAATGAAAATAGGAACAGTTCACTGAGTTATGGAGAGTATGAAATAATAGTAACTGCTGACACTTTTGAATACTTATTACAGGCCAGGCACAATCCTAAGTACTTAAAGTGCTATTCCTCCTAATAGGCTTACTAGGCAGGCAGTATCCCTATCTCCATCGTTAGAGGAGAAAACAGAAATACCAAGAGTGAATAGTTTGCCCAAGGCCACACAGCTAGCTAGTGGCTCGACCAGAACTTGAACTAGATAGTCTGGCTCCAGAGTTGGTGCTCTTGAAAATGATGCTGTACCTCATAGCCCCTTGCAGACAGGAGGGACTAGGGGCTAATAGCTCCCTTCCTCCCTATTTGTAGAATAGTGGCAACAGCTTTGCAGATGCAGATCCTCAAAGCAGTGAGGACAGAATCTTAAAGAAGAGGAAATAGCACTTCTCTAACTGTCACAAGTAAAACCAGAAATTGCATTTTTCCTGAACCCTGTTCTAAAGGAAGAAAATTATTATACACTATTCTCCAGCTGAAAGAGGTCTGGTTCCCCAGGAGAGGGGAGCTGGTGCTAAGGCAGTCACAGGAAGGGGCTGCTGTTTCCTGAGGCTGCCCCTGCCTCACCTGCCTGTGCTGAAGGACAATGTGGGTAGTCCACCTGGAGCATCAAGGCAGGGAAGCAGGAGAAGGTGAAAAGGCGTGCCCTGGCCAGCCATAGTGGGGCCAGCTGCAAAAGAAAAAGTAACAAATACCAAATCTCTCTTCATTTATACTTTTGCGATATATATATAGCAAAAGTATAAACATATATATAAAATATAAGTATATATGTGTGTGTGTATATATACATATATATATGTATATATATAGCAAAAGTATAAATGAAGATTTGGATAAATGAAGATATATATATATATATATGTATATATGACAATGAAGAGAGAAAAGTATAAATGAAGATATATATATCTCAAAAGTATAAATGAAGATATATATATTATTTTTTTTTTGAGACAGAGTCTCAAGCTGGAATGCAGTGGCACAATCATAGCCTACTGTAGCCTCGACTTCCCAGGCTCAAGAGATCCTCCCACCTCAGCCTCCCAAATAGCAGGGACTATAGGCACAAGCCACAACATCCAGCTAATTTTTTCTTTTATTTTCTTTCTTTTTTTTTCTTTTTTTTGTAGAGATGAGGTCTCACTACATTGCCCAGGCTGGTCTTGAACTCCTGGCCTCAAGTGTTTCTCCTCCCTCTGACTCTCAAAGTGCTGGGTTTATAAGCATGAGCCAGCATGTCCAGCCCACTTTTGATACTTTTGATTTTCAAAAATATTGTGGTTATTTCTATCACTGCATTTTGTGGAGCATAAGGGCCTGGGTAGTTCAGTTGGTAGAGTAGCAGACTTTTAATCTGAGGGTCCGGGGTTTAAGTCCCTGTCCAGGCACTAAAATCTCCCATGACAAAATATTCTTCTCTAAAAGAAGGAAATTCGAGTTACTGTTCAGCATTTACAGTGGTACCATAGGCACCAGAAAGGAAAAAGGAAATGCTGTGATGAGAGATGAGGAAGGCCTGGAAAGAGAACCTGCTGCACGCCCCACTCCCAGTTGCAAGTGGACATATTGGGCTAGGGACTCCTGCTTTAGTGGTTATGTATCTTTCTCATTCCTTTACAGTTCTAGCATATTCTCCAGGTATGTGACCAAGGCCCTTCGTCCCCAGCCAGTAAAGGAGGTAGACCTCACCAAATACAAATATTAATAAAGACCTAAGTAATAATCTACCATCCTTGCATTGCTGGACATAGAGTGGAAGGGTGACTCATCAGAGGTTTCTTTCCACCCATTTTAACCCAGTATCTCAAGAACCCAAGGCTATGGACCTCAGTTTTCCTCTACCACTTAATTTATTCTTTTATGACTGCTTTCCTTCGTAAACTATAAGAAAACAAGTTGGAAATGAGGGCAAAAATAAGGAAAAAATGTTTTTAAGAGAAAACACAATGTCTGCCTTTAATATACTGTCTCCTCATTATTCTGAGATGACTCATGCAAAAAGCCCAGTTAAAAACACCATGCCGGCCACGGTAGCTCACACCCGTAATCCCAACACTTTGGGAACCCAAGGTGGGAGGATCATTTGAGGCCCAGAATGCAAGACCAGCCTGGGTAACATAGTGAGACCCCATCTCTACAAAAATGAAAAAAATTAACAAGGCATGTTGGTACGTGCCTGCAGTCCCATCTACTCAGGAGGCTGAGGCAGGAGGATTGCTTGAGCACAGGAATTGAAGGTTATAGTTAGCTATGATTGCACCATCATACTCCAGCTTGGGTGACAGAGTGAGATTTGTTATGTTTAACAAAAAAATCAAATAACAAACAACTCGTCCCATTTTTTGTCTTTTTTTTTTTTAACTGTACTTTAGGTCCTGGGGTACATGTGCAAATTATGTGAGATTGTTACATAGGTACACACATGGTATTGTGGTTTGCTGCCTTCATTCCCCTTTCACCTACATCTGGCATTTGTCCCCATGTTATCCCTCCCTGACCTCCCCACATCCCCCCTGTTATCCCTCCCTTGTCCTCCAACAGACCCCGGTGTATGATGCTCCCTTCCCTGTGTCCATGTGTTCTCACTGTTCAACACCCACCTATGAGTGAGAACATGCAATGTTTGATTTTCTATTCTTGTGTCAGCTTGCTGAGAATGATGGTTTCCAGATTCATCCATGTCCCTACAAAGGACACGAACTCATCATTTCTTATGTCTGCATAGTATTCCATGGTGTCTATGTGCCACATTTTCCTTGTCCAGTTTATCATCAATACCAATGGACATTTGGGTTGGTTCCAGGTCTTTGCTATTGTAAACAGTGCTGCTGTGAACATACGTGTACATGTGTCCTTATAACAGAATGATTTATAGTCCTTAGGGTATATACCCAGTAATGGGATTGCTGGGTCAAATGGAATTTCTATTTCTAGGTCCTTGAGGGAGTGTCACACTGTCTTCCACAATGGTTGAACTAGTTTGCACTCCCACTAATAGTATAAAGTGTTCCTATTTCTCCACATCCTATCCAGCATCTGTTGTCTCCAGATTTTTTAATGATCACCATTCTAACTGGCGTGAGGTGGTATCTCAATGTGGTTTTGATTTGCATTTCTCTAACGACCAGTCATGATGAGCATTTTTTCATATGTTTGTTGGCCTCATATATGTCTTATTTTGAAAAGTGTCTGTTCATATCCTTCTCCCACTTTTGGATGGGTTTGTTTTTTTTTCTTGTAAATATGTTTTAGTTCTTTGTAGATTCTGGATATTAGCCCTTTGTCAGATGGGTAGATTGAAAAAGTTTTTTTTACCATTCTGTTTATTGTCAGTTCACTCTAATGATTGCTTCTTTTGCTGTACAGAAGCTCTGGAGTTTAATTAGGTCCCATTTGTCTATTTTGGCTTTTGTTGCCAATGCTTTTGGTGTTTTAGTCATGAAGTCCTTGCTTTTGCCTATGTCCTGAATGGTTTTGTCTAGGTTTCCTTCTAGGGTTTTTATGGTGTTAGGTCTTATGTTTAAGTCTTTAATCCATCTGGAGTTAATTTTAGTGTAAGGTGTCAGGAAGGGGTCCAGTTTCTGCTTTCAGTACACTGTTGATCAGTTTTCCCTACATCATTTATTAAACAGGGAATCCTTTCCCCATTGCTTGTTTTTGTCAGGTTTGTCAAAGATCAGATGGCTGTAGATGTGTGGCATTGCCTCCAAAGCCTCTGTTCTGTTCCATTTGTCTATATCTCCGTTTTGGTACCAGTACCATGCTGTATTGATTACTGCAGCTTTGTAGTATAGTCCAAAATCAGGTAGCATGATGCCTCCAGCTTTGTTCTTTTGTTTAGGATTGTCTTGGCTATGCAGGCTCCCTTCTGGTTCCATGTGAAGTTCAAGGTGGTTTTTTCCATTTCTGTGAAGAATATCATTGGTAGCTTGATGGGGATAGCATTGAATCTATAGATTACTTTGAGCAGCATGGCCATTTTCACAATATTGATTCTACCTTACCATGACCATGGAATGTTTCTCCATTTGTTTGTGTCCTCTCCTATTTCACTGAGCAGTGGTTTGTAGTTCTCCCTAAAGAGGTCCTTTATGTCCTTTGTTAGTTGTATTCCTAGGTATTTTATTCTCTTTGTAGCAATTGTGAATGGGAGTTCACTCATGATTTGGCTCTCTTTAAGTCTGTTATTGGTGTATAGAAATGCTTGTGATTTCTGCACATTTATTTTGTATCCTGAGACTTTGCTGAAGTTGCTTATCAGTTTAAGGAGATTTGGGGCTGAGATTATAGGGTCTTCTAAATATACAATCATGTCGTTGCAAATAGAGACAATTTGACTTCCTCTTTTCCTAGTTAAATACTTTTTATTTTTTTTCTTGTCTAATTGCTCTGGCTAGAACTTCCAATAGTATATTGGATAGGAGTGGTGACATGGTGGCTTATGCTTATAATCCCAGCACTTTGAGAGTCAGAGGGAGGAGAAACACTTGAGGCCTTCTAGCAGTCAGGCTCTTTTGCTGCAGGACTGCTGGAGGTCCACTCCAGACCCTCCTTGCCTGGGGATTGCCAGCGGGGGCTGCAGAACAGCAAGGGTTGTCACAGTTTTATTCCTCTGCTATCCTCGTCCCAGAAGGGTACCCACCCGATGTTGGCCTGAGCTCCCCTTTATGAGGTGTCTCTTTGGGTATACAGGGGCCAGGGAGCTGCTTGAGGAGAGAGTCTGTCCGTTATAGGAGCTCAAGTGCTGTGCTGGGAGCTCTGCTGCTCCGTGCAGAGCTGCTGGGCAGATACCTTTAAGTCTGCTGCAGCTGAACTCATAACTGCCTCTTTTCCCAGGTGCTCTGTCCTAGGAAGGTTGGCTTTCTTTATAAGTCCCTGTTGTGCTACTGCCTTTATAGATGCCCTGCCCCACATGGAGTAGTCTAGTAGCAGTCTGCCAGCAGAGGTGTTGCTGAGCTGCTGCATGCTCTGACATGCGCTGTTGAACTTCCTCTGTAGCTGCAGACTGCCTCTGTAGTGGGGGACGCCCTTCCCCTGGGTCAACTGGAAGGTTCTGGGTCTGGCTCTGCTTGCTGCAAAACTCTTAATCCAGAGCGTTTCAGATTGCTTGTTCTATGGGGATGGTACCTGCTGAGCCAAATCCCATGGCCCCCTGTCTTAGCCCCCTCCCTTTCAGTTGAATGGGTGGCTCTGTCTCCTAGGCCTTCCAGGTGCCAGCCAAAAAGGAGCCCAGACTTATGTGAGTTTCTGTGCGCCGACTTGGCACCAGTTGAAACCGCGATGCTGAAAACTCATGGCACTTTTCAGCCCAGGCATCTCCTGGTCTGTGGGCAGTGAAAACGTGTTTGGAAATGCGGTGAGCACTCACCCTCTGTGCTGCTCTCGCTGGGAACTGCACTCCAGAGCTGTTCCTATTCAGTCATCTTGGGGAATCTTTCAGCTTGTCTCATTTTTATGGAGAATCTTTCAGCTCGTCCTGCATTTTTAGTTTTTGGCAAGTCGTACCCCAAGTTTCAGTAACCTGGTTCCTCTCTCCTTAGCTATGACACTGAAATGGAAGAAGGAGGAAGGGTTGATGCATTTCAGATTGGCAGGGAAAGCCTATGCACATGTCTAAGGTCTCAGAGCAAAGCTGGTGAATTGCTGTGTGGCTGGAGGAACGGTCTAATGAGAAACTCCACCTGGATGTATACTTCTGCTTCTATGTTTGCAGCCAGTAGGACTCCTAGGTTGAGTTTTATAAATGATTGAGCATGTATCCTCAGACTTCCACATGGAGCATGTACACCTATCCAATCCTCCAACTAGTTTTTCAGCTGTCGTGTTGTGTCATATCATTTGAACATCTGAGACTAAGCCAAGTGCAAAAGAAATCCTACGTTAAAATTCCAACAGAACTTTTCATATGCTGTATTTCTTGGTTTCAAGGTCTTAATGAATGCCACAGCTGTTATTTCTCCATTTTGGCTGCATTCCACAGACCTGTCTTTGGGTCTGTGTTCCCACTGGGAATGGTGCATTTTGTTTTTAATGCACCAATCTTCCCCTTAGGATAGCCAGTATACATGTTGTTAAGAAAAATGAGAGGTGCCTCTCCATCTTCAGGAAGTGCTTCAGGATTTGTCTTCACTAATAACACACAGCTAACTACAACAGAAAAGTGGGATGAATGAACATATTCAAGGCAAGGGAAATAAAGACACCAGAAAAACCCGTGGGCAGCTCTGCCCGGAGCCAATTGGACCACAGACACCTTAAAGGAAGAAGTAAATCCTACGATGGGAGATGAGGAAGGCCTGGAATGAAAACCTGCTGCCCTGCCGCACTCCCTGTTGAAAGTGGACATATTAGGCCTCGGGCTCCTGCTTTAGTGGTTATGTATCTTTCT